AGAGAGAGAGAGAGAGAGAGAGAGATTGGTGACTTTGGGACTTGACGGCATTTGGATTCAGACTCGACATTGGGATTGAGACATTGGACGGGGGATTATTTGGGACCTGTACCGAAGACTTGGTGTTGACGACATTCCCATCTTCCCCTTTTCTTTGTCTGATCCCCCTCCTCCTCGTCTGTGTATGTTTAGGACTGGCGCATTCTTCTTGTGTGAGCGCCAGCCCCTTTCACACCATGCGATGATGATGATGTATGCTTGGTCTGCAGTTCGACATTGATTGGTCTGATTGTTGGTATTTTAGTCTTCCGCTGTGCTATCTTGTAGTCTGATCCCCCTCCTCCTCGTCTGTGTATGTTTGGGACTGGCGCATTCTTCTTGTGTGAGCGCCAGCCCCTTCCACACCATGCGATGATGATGATGTATGCTTGGTCTGCAGTTCGGCATTGATTGGTCTGACTGTTGGTATTTTAGTCTTCCGCTGTGCTATCTTGTACTATGAGAGAGAGGTCGGTTCTTGTTCTGGTCTGTACCATTACGGTATGCGACAGTCAACTACGTCTGCATTGCTCTGCAATCAATTTGTCTCGTAAAAAAATTGCAAATCGGATCAATGTAAGCAATTAGTTCAGGATCTCCTCTGGGAGATGGGTCACTCAGAATGTTCAATAAGAATGCTATTCTTTTATTCGACATAGCCAAATTCAAGAATAATGTTTTCCATGGAAGGCAAATGCACTGCAGGAAACATCACCTTCAATATCTTCTAAAAGAAGTGGTTACAGTCAAAATACAAAATTGTTATTTCAATGATTCAATCTTGTCGACAGATTTTGGCGCTAACCTCCAAAGTCAAAAGGGAAAAAGCCCAGATCGTACGCTAAGGTCCTAAAGCTTCTTTGATAGTCCAATTCTCATGGATTGTTCTCCTTTTCTTGGCTTTGTTGAATGGATGTTTATGACCTCCCCCCTCCTTTTCCCCCCCTTCGTCCTCACCTCCTCACATTAATTGGTTCTCGATGTGTTCAGGTCCGTTGCCATTGTTGGGGCTGTGTGGATCGGAGAGTACGAGGAGGCAGGGTCTGTCATCTTCCTCTTCCTGATTGCCAACTGGCTTGAAATGAGGTCAGCTGATCGGGTGGGTATTCTTCTCTCTCTCTCTCTCTCTCTCTCTCTCTCTCTCTCTCTCTCTCTCTCTCTCTCTCTCTCTCTCTCTCTCTCTCTCTCTCT